ATATAGTGCAGGAAGAGCTCCTGGCTCTGATGAGGGAGACAACAATCCTGCTGTATGACATTTAAGCTGGGTGACATGCAGAAACACCGCACAAACAGGCATGGCAGTGCAGCCACCAGCATCCTCCTACCCACATGAGAGAATAACATCTTCCTGAGAACCTGCAGCTTTTCAATCCTGATTTCCACATGGTCAGAATACATGAAAAGCCTTTAATATCACTGTAAACAGACTGAAGCACAAGTCACTTCACACACATGCAAGCACACACTTGAGCCGAGAATGAAATGAAGTCCTTTGCTGTCAAAAGCTATCACAGAAGTCAGGTGCAATTCGCATTTGTGCTTGGAGTATGTGACCAGCTAAAGGATGGAGTTAAAGTCCATCAGCATACCCATCCAGCTGACGAAATGCAGAAAGGATGAAGAGAATTTAAAGAACAGAAGGTTAAAAAGTGAAGCTGTAATAACTGCTCAGCAGAGAGGGCTTTCCGACACTGCTCATTACATGGCTCAATGTACCAAATAATACAAAGATCCAAGGAGAGAAGTTCACCTTTCCGGAGCAGCATTCTGTAGGTGGTCTCCAGTTCAGAGATTTCCTGAGGCGAAGGTCTTTTAGCAGTAGCTGCAATCCACAACCGCCCTCTATGAGATGTGTACCAGGTCCTGCCCTCCACCCTAGAGAACAAAGGAGAATTTAGGACCTAAATTTCAGCAGAAATCACCCACACAGACAGATTTTTCAATCTAATGTTTTGCTACACAATTCCTGCTGCTAAGCATTGCCCTGACTATTTAAACTCAAGCAACGTGTCAGCACTACAGAGAAAAGCTGAGATGGGCAAGAAATAATGCCACAAGCAGAGCATGTCCTCACTGCTTTAGAGCAACAGCAAAAAAGGACATCAATCCCCTGCAAATACAGCAGTACGCTGGACATGTGTGTAGGACAATCTGCTCATGCAATTCCCTTACAAGCTCAAAAAGTTACACACAGTAAGCATGCAATCTAGGGAGTAATAAAGATAAAGGACCACGAATCCGTATGAAGCAGTCATTAGCTGCAGCTCTCAGGGATCCCAGCATGGGCACTAGGCATCAATGCTGCAGCTGCATCACAGCAGCTGACAGCACCCCCAGATCACCTAGATGCAGAAGCCGAGCACATTAAGATTTACAGCATCTTCAGCCTGGGAAGTGAAAAAGCTTTGCCCTCTAAAATGAAAAATTCTGTGAAGGAAAGGAAATAAAAAAGGCTAAAGAAGATTCTTTGTTCCATACTAGTGGTAGAAAAGGTAAACTAACATGTCAGGGATGCTGTGCTGAAGGAGCTTCTCTTTGTAACCTGATTCCTAGCCCAGAGGAGGAAGGTGGTGGCAAGGGGTGTGTGCGTGTGATTGTTTTTTTTAAACAAAGCCTGGTCCCCCTGTTGGCTTCTTTATGATGGACAAAAAGACCAGAAGAACATAATTCACATTTTCAGCTTATTTACCTTTCAAATTCCAGAAAGGTACACCCCAACTATAGTGCAGAAATCTCAGCCTCTCTCTAAATTTACCCACTGTGAAGAGACTTGTACCTTCCAGGTTAGCTACTCACATGAAAAATCAATTCATCAGGCTTCTCAAACCATCAGTACAGTGGATGAGGAAGCATGGCTTCCAAACCTGGAGCTATCACTAGGTTATCAGTCACTGTACAAAGCAAGCGAGTCCACAGAGGTCCTCCGAGGAACACAACTTCCCAGCTCACCTACGAAGCAAGAGCTGGTCAGGATATAACACAGTTCATGCCAACCCGTTACCTTTTGATTCCTCTTATGAGCAAGGAAGCCCAAGGCTGGTGCATGCTGAGGCACCAACCATCATCTGAGATCTCCTGCAACTCTCGATCCTGAATCCGCAACCTGTTCCGTTCCAAGCCAGACTCATTTCCAGCATCCATGGAATGGATGGCTTTCCGGTGTGGGAGCAAACCAGTTTGGTCCACCCACTTCAGTGTGGTCAAAAGAAACAAGAAAAAGGTTAGCACCTCTCTAGGAAAAATGTATATCAAGTGCAAATCCTATTTGAAGTTTTCCTTCATTTAGGGACAGAGGTATTACTTGTATTGTGATCACCCTTCCTTCCTTGCAAGCTCGCTGCGCTTACACGCAATACTTTGGCAGGAGGAAAAGCAAGGTCATGCTCCACTTGTGCGGCTTTTCCTTTCTATGCATCGCAGCTAAACTATGGATTTACAGGACAAATCCACCTGCTGGTGTTTCAAAGCATTCACAGGAAGATACAATTTTCAAAGCATATTCACAGCCATCAACACTCAAAACTGGGAATCATCCAACCTCCAAATGCTTAGCATACACCAAGAACACGACGATTACAGTAGAATTAGAGCGTAGAGATTATGCCCTTTGGAATTCTGGCAGAAAAGGCTTCATAAATAGAGCTGAAAAAGTGACACAACCTTAGGCTGACTCTCAGAAATTCTTTCAAGTTCCTGAAGAGGAGGTAGGAGACTAAAACTCAGATAAACCAAACCTCCCAAGAGCGGGGAACAGAGCAGGGCATTGGCAAACCTTTTCTGTCCCCAGCTCAGATGGCTAATGAGAATCTCCTAGACACAGGGGAGGAAAGGGGTACTACAAACATGCTAGAATTCACAATTCTTAAGCTCAGCTCTCCCAAAGTTAGTTATTACTCTGGTATAAATCATTCAACCTGTACTCACCAAAGGAGCAGGCTGAAGAAGACAGGGATTCACTAAAACACCAGAACTCAGAGTCGTCTTTGCTTCTGGGCCTCCAGCTGGCTTGCTCAGTGTGCCGCAATTAATGGCTTTGATGGTTTCATCCAGTCTGCAAGCACAAACAAGAGGCACGAGAACTCCCTGCTTCCCCCTGGCAACATCTCTCTTCTCTCCAACACAAACATTTCTGACCCAAAGCATTTTTTAACCACCTCCCCTAGCTAAATTTCCTTGTTAGGTCTGATTTCTAATTTGAACAGGCACTCTTATCTACCACAGAAACTCAGCCTGGTTTGAATTTGAGATGAATTTATTCTGTTGAGATAGGCCTTCTGCAACACCTCTTTCCAGGCAGCTTTATCTTTAACAGACGTGCCAGCTACTGAAACCCCGTGCAAGCCTCACACAGTTGGGCTTTGGAGGAGGTCTCAGCAGAGTGGTGCTGAAGGAGATGATATGCTGCAAGCCAAAAAGACCCTCAAGGAAGAAAAGAATGCAAAACTGCATCCTAGTGTCAGAAGTGCCCTTCAAGGGAATGGCTTGCTCCACTTTACCTACACTTGCTCTTCTAGATTCAGCCAGACCACCACCTGTAACAATTTTCACCTCCCTGCTCTTGGGCATGCCTTTGCACTGCCAGTTCTCACTCACTTGCTGTGGTATTCAGCAATGTTGTTGTCTTCCTCCAGGATCTGCCTGCCAGCAAAGTCGATGGTGATTTTTTTGGCAAGCCGATAGGCATGACGCAGCTCCCGCAGTTCCTGCTCTCTCTTCTGGAGGGCCTCCCTTTCCTGCTTGGACAGCCACTGGTTGGAGTCTGTGGCAAAGTAATCTGATTCATCGTCAATGACCTGGGTTCGACGCACGCTGGTGAGAAACAACCATAATAGTAAAAGATGAGGACAGCAGGACAGTGACACAGCACCACCTGCCCCAAACCTGCCTTCCTACCACCTCCTTTCTGTTCTTCTAGAGAGCTGGACTGTCAGGGACACAAGCAAGGCCATCCAAACAGGTCCCATTTGAGGGGTTCACTCTTGTTCCACCAAATGGCAACATTAAAGTGTCTGTTAGCTGTAGCTACGGGCCAGGTTTTAGAAGGAACTCTCTAAGATTTCTGTTAAAGGCAGCTCAGCCTACCAGATAATTTACATTATTACACAATGGTCTCACAGCCAGTGTGTTACCTTGTCCTGTCAAATTCCAACAACTTGTCTTTGTGTTTCACAGCCATCTCCAGGCCTGCTTTGAGTCTAGCTTCTTGTCGAGGCAGTAAGTCTTTACTTATGGCATCCAAATTCCCTGCACTTTCAGCACCTGAGATAGAAAATAAATCACAGCTCAATAGTCATGGACGGGCCAGTAGTTTAAAGCTCAGCCTTCGTGGGGCTGGCTGCAGAAATATCCCCTAAAAAAAAGCCATTCAAGGAGCTAAAAGAACCTTGCACCAAGATCAGCACCTTTCCAAACCAGGTTCAAGCCCTGATTTTCCCTCTAGCCCCTTTCACAGACTCCCTCCTCCAAATAGGAGGAAGCATTTAAATACTACAGTGACAATGTCTAGGTAATGTTTAAAGAGAAGGTCGTGGTCTTTGATTCTCCTTCACCTTTCCCTAACAATTTCAGCAGTCCAAATTTCACCCATCACCAACTGCAGGCCTTGAGTCCCCTCCCTCTCCTAAGTGTTTTTACTTCCACTGAGAGGCTCTTGGTCATGACAGATCACTGACAACTGCCAGTTACGCACAGAACAAGCCTTCTGCCTGCTGCTGTATGAGCCTCTCACAAATGAAATCCACCCCCAATGCACCTCAGAAGGTTTTTCAGACCAGCTACTGTTAGAGATGGAGAAATCTATTCCCAGCAACGATCTCTTCTTTCTTACCATTTCTGGCAAGGGGCCAAAACCAAACCAAACAAACAAAAGGGGTGTAAAAGGTTGCATCAAAGACACAATGGAACAAACCAATGTATTTCACAGAAGACATCACACAGGCTAACACCTTTATTTCGGGGAAACCAAAAAGCCTGTATTCCCCTATTGTCGCTGATCCACATTTTTTCACTCCCGAGACAAATAGCTATCCACATTTCAGCTTTCACCTACAGAGATAACATACAAAGCAATACCTGGCAGGGGCAGAAGGGAAGACCGATAAAATGGGTAAGAAAAGGGGATCCTGAAGTACATCAGGAGCTCTACAGGATTATAAACAGACTGACTTGGTGATCAGCTGTTACTCTCAAGGACTTACAGGACCTCCTGCCATCTCAGCAGCTCCAAAGATAAGTTGACACCGAGACCCAGAGTAAATGTTTCCCCAGCTCTTCAGCAAAGTGTATTTTTCAACCAGGAACACTGTGACCTTGGCTATATTTCAGCTAAACTCAGACAAACATCCCCATAATGCACAGATCTTTGCTGGGAGACTGGGTATCATTTCCTCTTGCTTTCCTTGGCTCTGTTCCTATTTTTAGCTCCCAAGATAAGTGTTAGACAGGAAAAGTCGTTAGAAAATATTAACCACCACCTCTCTAGGCCCAGCAAATCAGATAGCAGCACTTCATTTTCCACAGCACACATTCCACATGAGACTTATCCTAATTTCAAGGACTGCTACAATGATCCAGTTCACGTGATTGATTTGGGAATGCCAAACGAGCAGCCTTGGGGCCTCTGGGTAAGGACATTATACACTGCCATTTGACACTAGCAGTTATCACCTCTGTTGAAGTCCAGAAATGCTGCCGACTGCTTGCTGAGAGGATACAAGGAGACGGCTTCCCAGACATCCTTTTAATACCCACCACAAACACCATGCAGCAACAGGGGCAAGTGGCTCAGTAAAGTCTGAAGTTCACAAACTGTCCTGGCAATTTACATCCCAGAGAAACATTCAAGTGCCAGCTCCCAGGAAAGAATTACCTTTAGACTTTGCCAGCAATTCTTTATAATTCAGATGAATGGATCTAGATAATTTACATACCAGGACACACACTCTCATTCCTACACAATGTCAAGGCAACTGTAGCACAGTGAGGCTCCTGCTGTTGCATAACTGATTGGATTAATTATATTACAGGTATGTGACTGCTACTGACCTGCCATGAGCTTCTTCAGCAACTTCTGGCTCTTGTTTGAGTCCCGTTGAAGAATGTCCTGCTCTTCTTTAGTGCACACCTAAGGAAAAAAATTAAGACTTAGGAAGGACATCACATGCTTGACCAGCTTCAGAGCCTTGGACAACAGCTCAAGGTAAGCTGTTTAAAATAGCCAAGATAGTCCACACCTCCTTTCCTTCAGTTTTATTTACATGGGGAGAATCCTGAAAGCTTGTTCTTTACTAAAAGCAATTAATGAGAAATGTACAGCTTGGTCTTTCTTGGTTCTGTGGGTGGGCACACTGCTAAGTGATCTGAAAGGATGAGAAATACACTCAACCTCCTCAAGCAGATGAACAATGCTTAACACTGAGTCCTCTCTCTTGGTTGGCCACTTGGAGTTAAACAGATCTTTAAAAATAGCAAACAACCTGATTTAAAACATTTTCTTCATCCACCCAATATTTTCCTCTCTCCTGAAGCTGACTTGACTTAATCTGCAGTTGTTAACTTGCCCCCTTTCTCCAAAAGGTGCCCTTTCAACCAAATACAGGGTGTAACAAGTATCCCAAATGATGCATACCACACAAGTGTTGAAGAAAAGTCAGCACACTGGCCCTGGCCGTGTCTCCTGCCCCTTACAAGGCTACCAGGGCTGTGCCCAGGATGGGGCTGAAGCCTTGCACTCATTTTGGACACTAGTGTGATGCACAGGACAGCCACAGTAGACTGTCATAAATCAGGCAAGCTTCAAAGTGATGTAAATCATGAGGGAAACCTCTCTGCTCTCTGATGCAGCACATCATAAAAGAAACACAAAGTGACAAAGCCACAGTAGCTCTCCTTCCCCTAGAAGGAGATAGTACAGGTTCTTTCCTGCCCAGTTTTAGAGCTTGGAGAACTTTGATCTGAGAGGCTAATTCAGCCCCATGCCATTTCAAAGCCCTGAGCAAACTACACCACATCCAAGCATGGCAAATAAAAACCACCTCATTACTAACCAGAGCACCACAGAACAAGCAGGGTCCAGAGCCCTCCTGCTCACAGACAATGCGCCCGCAAACCAAGCAGTTGTTGATGAGCTTGTGCTTCTGGCCCAGGCACTCGCAGGTGTGACGGCCAGGGATCAGGACAGCCAACTTGTCTTGCCCCTCCTTGGTATACAGGCTGACATATTTAGGCTTCTTCTTAGAGGAACTGCTACTGCTGCTGACTCCGCTGCTGTTCTCCTGTGCCTGAGAAGCAAAAAAATAAACAAATTGTATTTGCAGTGCAATACCAGCAGCAAAGAGAAAGCACTGACCCTTGAACAGACTGCGGAGACTCAGACAAGTGTTTCTGCCTAACTGGAATGAAACTTGACCAGACCCCAGATTCAACGGAGACAAGCATAGGCCTGCCAGAAAAGGTCCAAGAAATCTAAACAAAGCAAGGACATAAGGATGTTGCTGATCCTCTTGATGTTTGCTGCCTGTGAAAGCTAAAACTGCTTGAGTCTAGATGGCAGGCGTGTTGTCAGTCCTCCAGACCTGCAATATCAACTCACAGGTATTTAACAGTTTCAAACAGCAGCTCAGCTACTCCCAGATTTATTTTCAAGGGTTATTTAGATTATAGCAACCCCCTGTTTGTAACTATGAAATCCTGTGTGTGCCTGTCCCCAGAAACAGAGCTGCTGGTGGCAGCAGGACCTCTTCATTCACAGCCAGTTTACCACCCAGCATTTTTTACATTTTCCACCCAGCACAGCCACCTGAGCAGAGGTTTTCCATGCACTGCATGTTCAAGTATTTAGCTGTAATGTAAATTCTTCTCCTCATTTCATGAGTTGGCATCAGTGATTCTGTGATTCACCTCTCTGAGTTTCAAAATCAGGGACTGCATTGGGTCAGGGTTTGGGTCAGGCCAAAGTAGAGAAACCCTGATCAGAAACAAAGCAAGATATTTTAGATGATGGCTGGATTAATAATCTAAGAGTGGAATTCTCTGTTTTCTCCCTCAGACCTTACACCTTGATCAAAGAAACAAAGGGTTCCTCCTCCCATCTGACGTCTCCAGCAGGTACTGGCTGAGAAGTGAATTGTTGAGAAGTTAATTGCAGGAATTAATTACAGCACAGAAACCATTCCAGGGGAACAGAACAAAGCCAACTGCTACCATCTCTCTGGCAATACTCAAAAACAGATGTTTTGAAAACGAAGCACAACACACTCCAGGCACAAACCTATCTCATAACACTAGATGAGACTGGTTTCAACCATGAATGGCATGCTAGCCATGGCCAAGAAAGACTAGGATTTATTACTCTTATCTATTTCAGCAAGCAGCACTCCAATATAAATGCACTCTCCGGCCTTTAGTTGTCATATCTGTGACACAGTTGAAAATCCTCTTGCAGCTCAAGCGCAGCTTTTCTTTGCCTCTCCTCTCCACAGTCTCTCTCGACAATAGAAAAGAGGATTTCTCGGAAACCTTTCCCAGAAACCCTGTTTTCATTCACCAAAGAACAACAACTCACTTTCCCTGCCTGCTGCATGCTAGAGGATTACTCCCACTCCCTAACCCGCACATCAGCTTGCACTGCCATCAGCTTGCACTGCTTCTATGTCTCACATCCACCCACACTGCTTTTCTCAGTGACGGTGCAGTGCTGTGGCATTAGGACACCTTGTCTTGACTCTTTTTACCTGCTGTCAATAGCAGCAGGCTACTGGTTTAGTGACAAGCGGATGCAGCATTTCCAGTCCCCCAGTTCTACCCAACTGGCTTTACTGCCACTGCCAGATCCAAAGACTACCGTCACGGGAAAAAAAAAAAAAAAACCACAAAACTAAACCAGATAAAGCAACTTTGGTTAGCAAGCCTTGGCAGAGCTTTCTCAGGTGTTTTTTTAATGAAGTTAGAAGATGACTACAAGGAAATGGAAATTACTGTCCATTTTTAACCCTCCAGTTCAAAAAAATGTGGTTTTTAATCTTACAAACACTTTTACAAACACTTTAAGCATTTGCAGCCTCCTTGCTACAAAAGCTTCAATTTGAAAACATAAATTTAAGTTCCACTATTTATTCAGGTGCAACCCTGACTCTCAGGATTTGGACATTGCTCAATCAGGATTGCACCTGGATAAATCATGGAATTTAATTTTGGGAGGTGCAATGTGCTTGATGTTTATAGCATGAAGGACTCCACTGCAAGTCTAACGATGCAAATCAAGCGCACTGCACATCCACGCACTTATTTCTGTGGAGCATGCTCTTGCACTCAGGCACCAATAGAGTGATCTGCTGTATTTGATGCAACCTGGACCGCAGTTGTGCAGCTGGATCTGTACCTAAGGAGCTTGGGTTCCCAGAAGGCAGCTCTGCATCAAAACCAAACACCAAAAATAAAATCTAGAAATTCAGCCTAGGTAATTACAACAACATTTAACATCAAAGATTGTCATATTTGATGCACTGACTGTGGGAAATGGTTCTGCTGAATGGAAAGCAAGTCTGCTGCAAAAAGTTAGTTAACTATCACAGAAAAAGGCAACTACTGCTTGCTGCATGGCCTTATGCTGCTTGAAAATAGCAGGATTTTCTGGTTTTTAGCATTTCTATGCTCTTATTTTGCAGTTTCTTCCATTGCAGCTCAGACTGCTTATGAATACTGCAAAAAAAGGTCTCCACAAAATTGAACAACATCTCAGTCTCGACACTAAAGGTGCAGGAGTGGAGCTGAACAAGAAAGGGAAATGGCCAAACGAAAGCTGCTGCTTAGTGGAAAGGCACTCACTACAGCTCTCAGATTCCTCTATCTAGCGCCCAAGGCTTCCTCTCTGAAGCAGCCTGAAATATTTCAGTTGCCAATTAAAGCTTTATTCAGCGTGACTGGGAAGGTTTAAATACAGGAAGAAGGAATGTTCTACCCACTTGGTGGTTTCCTTAATTCCTCAACCTTCACACCTCTGCTTTAGAGAAACAGCTTTTATTATTAATTACAGCATCTACTTCCATTGTCCACTCTCTCATCCAGCCTTCTTTGGGGAGAGTAAAATCCATTTTGATATAGTCACTACCTGATCATTATTTTACTCTCCATTACAGACACAAACATACAGTCTTTCTCCCCATCCACATATTATCTGCTCCACAGTAGTGAGACTCCCATACACACACAGAGGGTATGAGCACGGCCTGTCCAAATCCACAGTCAGCTCTGAACAATCAATGCACAGGAACAGCCGCCCCTCTCGTTGCACTGGGCAGCCATACAACTCACTGACACTTGCAGTGTGGGACCTCTGCCTATCCCAACAGCTGCCAAAGTGTTTGCTCAAGTTATAGCTTGTGGCTGCCACGCTGGATGCTGTCTATGAGGGAACAAAGACACATAAACCTATATCACACAGAAGCTGTGCTGTATGTAAGACAAGACAGGGTTTGCAGGTGGAGGCAAGCATTTATTAGACCCTGTGATGTAGCTGGGAAACACAAACATGCTTTCAGGCACATAATCCCCTTCATCAGGACTCTGATAACACAGGATTCACATTTCTGAAAACTTATTTCCACTTTCCAATCACATCTTTTGTTAGTGTTTGATATTTTCTTTTCCCATGACCCAGGTTCAAAGCATGCCCTCAGCACCCAGTGACACACAGTCAGGCAAAGCCTGCCCTCATGTACTAGACACACTTACCTTGGCCAGGTCAAGGGGGGTTTTTACTTCCTCTACGTGCACACTTGGCTCAGCATACGCAGGCGTCTCCTGCTTGTTCCTTCCTTTGCGTTTACCCTTTTTTGCTTGGTCTCCAGCCCGAGGCACTTCCGAAGTCTCTGGAAGTGTGCGTAAGCACAAAGAAAGGCTGGGTAACTACCAGCAAGAGAAAGATGTCCCTGAACTCTTAGTGAATGCAAATTGGCTTTACACTGCTACAAAGTACAGGAATAGGACCAGTCACAGGCATTCGTGGCATCTAATTGTTTATAAACAGAATAACTGAGACAAGCTTATTTGAGACTTTAATTCCTTCCTCCCCGTACCACTCACCATCCTTTTTCCGATACGCTGGCAAAGGCTCAGATGGCAGCTGGGAGGATTTCCGCCACCTGGCCAGCAGTTCTTCTATAAACCAACTCTTCTGCCCATCAGTTCCCTGAATGAGGTCAACAACGTACTCCCGGATCTCATCCTCATTTGTTATTGACAAGATGTACCTGCAAGAGGATGGAATGAAGGAAAATGGGTAAGGGGGCTTTTGTTCTGACGAAACCAACAGTCTAATTGCACACATATGCAATTTCTCTCTCCTCTTCAGATCAGATTTCTGTAGAGACCACAGTAAGAAATAGGTTTATGAGTCAAATTTTGGGACAGGCACTTTGGGAAAGCCTTGTGAAATTTTGAGACAGACACTTTGGGAAATCCCTTGTGGCTGTTTCACTGAAAAAAGTAAGGTAAATTATCTTTCTCCCCCTGTTCCAGCGCAGTGACATCCCCCCGACCCTTCTGCCCAACACTAAAAAATTCACCCTGAGACTCTGGTTCCCACCAAGTCACATAAAGACTCTAACCACAAACCAATAAGCTCCTACTTAAACACAAGGAGACAGCAGCGTGCCCTTCCTCACCTACCCGCAATGACCCCACAC